CCTAGTGTCTTGCTTTTTTAATACAACAACAAATTAACCATTGCCTTTGAGTCTTAAATTATGTCACGTGATGGTCACTTGATCATTATGTTCAATTACCAGCAAAGCAATACGCACTGATGAAATCATTACCATGTTTAGAACTACCAAAGAAATTCACAAACTCAGCTGGAAAGACTTGCAATTTCAATGTCAAATTCAGAAAGCCCTAATGGTTTTCAAGTCTTTAAACGGTCTGGTTCCCGAATATTTCACTTCCAAATTTGTAACACGAAATGAATCAAATTATGCTCGGAGGGACTTCGGTTAAAGGATTTGAATAATGAATATAATTTACATCACCCACCTCAGATGTCGTAAAAAAAAGATGTTGTAACTGAACAAATATTCATATAATAATAGTATATTGATATATAAAATTATAATACTTAAACGAGAAAGAGACTTTGCTGTCGTAATTTGTATCTTGACGAACGTCATCGTCTGGCAAGATTCTTGGCAACGGACCTGAAATTGTTTAACACAAAGAACGGGAAAGAATTCAGGCATATTTTATATTTAAACACATTTATTTTAATTCAGTTCAACTACACTTCTTGTGTGAGCGATCTAAATCCAGTAACTGTACAGCGTTTTAATTGATTTCATTGCTCTGATTTCCAACAAACATTCATGACAACGCAGGTAAGAAACTAGTGGTCATCAATTTGCGTCGCTATTGACAAAACATACAAAAATCATTTTTAAGTTCATATTGACGAAGACTACGCCTCTGTGGTTATGTTGTTGTTACGGACTCGAACATATGTTTACAATGTGCTCATTATTGAAGGCAAATGACCAAACACCAAATGAGACCAAGATTTTTACCACTGACGTAATCACTATCTTGTTCCCTAGTTTCAGGTAACCAATAGCTCAAAACAATTTACAAGAGTCAAGTATCTTAAGTAACAAATAATAAATCTGAAATGGAATGTGACGCAAATTGATTACAGACTATTACAGTAAAAAGCTCTTAACTACTGTACTACTGAATATTTAATAAATACCTGATAGATATAAAAATCATAAAATACTATAGAATAGATTCAGCGGATCGCCTAAATGTTAGTGTCTAACAAGGCGGGTGGTTAAAAGGAATTAGATTTACTTCATTACAGCAAAATGTCGAGATATCAAAAGTTTACAAGATTGTTGCCAAGGACTTTATTTCAGTGTTTTTAAACAATTTTCAGGTTACCAAGAATTCTGCCTCCCTGTGATCAAGGATTACTCAAATTTTGTGATGTAAACTGACACGTCAAAACGTTCACTAACACCTTTAACGTAAATTTCCTTGGGCTATGACACCACTCCATAACAAACTTTTGACTCTGCCAACGTCACCAAGGTGATGATCAACAAACAAGAAGACCTCTGAAATGCTATAAAAATGACCAAATGCTGCGGTTTGTCTCGGTGAATAAGGTCCATCTGACTTATCACCTATCATCATGTCCAAATGCCTGCTATTCTTTAGAAGAAGAAACAACAAGGCATCCCGCTCACTTCCGTACGGTGCCCACGACAACCCAATGAGCCCCGGAGAGAAAGCGAGGCTCAGGAGTCCACAATCAGCCTCCATCGACTCTGAAGTTATCTTCACCTTTGAAAAGGGAAATGTCCTGACTATGAAGAAGCGAGGCATTCATGCCGAGTCAGCAGAGAAGGAAAGCGATGCCAGCAGTCCTAAACTGTTACTTCCTATTGTTGTAACGCTTGGTGGATCCGAATATTGAACAAAATATTTCAGAAGGAAAGGAACCGAAGATTGGAGTATTTTTTGAATATGAGTTTTATATGCACTTTGTGTCAGAAAGACGACTTTGCTGTTGTCACTGTCGTTTAGTAAATGTCGCTGTTGTTGTTACCACAATATCGGTGTTTTCATTGCATTAGGAGATAATAACCTCTTTTTGCTGTTGTCCTTGGGGCTACTGAAACGGACATTGTCTTTATAGGAACATGTTGTTTTTATTTGCATTAGTTAGCTTTTGCAAGCTGATGATAATGATAGATGAATTCAGTTTTATGAGACGCATTTGCCATCCTCGCATTAAAGTGGGATCGACCAGTTTCCTTGTAGGAAGGGCCAGCGTCCTGGCGGACTTACAGTGACATTAATATTCATTCGATAAACCCGTGCGATGAAAGAGCACCTTATGGCAGGTTCTTCTGTACATATACTTCATACGCGATCATCCTTGACGTTTTGAGAGCTCGGGAAAGAAGCCTTTTCTGGGAGACGATGTTAACTTGAGTTCTGATAATTTACTAGTTTGCACTCAGGTCTGAAAGGGCAGCCGAAGACTTAGTATCAGTGCTGTAATTCCCGACTGCCATTGGTCTTGAATTTGAGGAATAGTTTTAAATGTGCGATTTTGTTGACGAAGTAGAAAGTTTTGTGGAAGAGGTTAGTTATCTCATTAACTGGAGCATCTACAGATTTTAATGGTAGCACTGTGGATTTAGCCTTCCGCATTTTCATTGAAGACTTTACTTTCAATTACTTTTGAGAAGTTCTCGTTTTGAAAGGTTTTCCAAGGCTAAGAAGCCCGTTTCTGAGAGAGAAATAATTGACGTTAAGGAACTTAATAACGCAGCAAGAGAACAGTTTCGTCTTTTGATGTCTAGCGTGTGAATCATCACATGCCTTATCAATCTCGCTAGAGAACCTTTGCTTCTCGCGATCGGTGACAAAGTGAGTAGGGTGAGGGCTATAGGAACAAGATTGGCGTGAAAATTGAACTGCAAAATTGTAGTTTCGGTCGTAATCAGCCTCCACCCGATTCGTGTCGCTTGCCGACCTCAAACCATATTTTTTCCTGTCTGTAGGTTGGTAGGTTAGGTCTGTCTGTCTGTCTGTCTGTCTGTCTGTCTGTTTGTCGGTCTGTCTGTCTGTCGGCCTGCCTGCCTGCCTGTCTATCTGTCCGTCTCTCTGGCTGTTTATTTTTTTGTATGTTGGTTTGTTTGTTTGTTCATTTGTTTCTTTATGTCAGAAAAATAATGACATAGCATTACGCAAGAAATTTAAATAGTGAGCTCAGTTCATTTAGAACTGAATTCCCAGCTCCAAATTAAAGCCAGTTTCCTGTTATTTTACTCATTATCAGTGAGTTAGCCTTGTCTAATCGAGCAAAGACTAAATACATAAGCAGGCCAGATGTTTGTCTGCCATCCTCGTCGAGTGAAGCAACGTTCTATTCCATTCAAATTTAAGGCGAATGTTTAAAACTAACCTGCTGACGTCAATGTCCTGCTACAGTTGTCGGTAAAGTCCAACTCAGTTATATGTCAGAGCAGTCGAGTGAAAGCAAAAATATATGTACATACAGGTATCGATCTTTCCTTATATTTTTCTTGCCTTTTTTCTTGCATTGATGGATGCTAAGCATGGGGCAAAAACTGATCCATGATTGTTTAGGTTGTCTGCTTTTACTGTTTAATTTACTTTTAAAATCTACACTGTTAAACATTCCACAAATTTAGTTAATATTAAAATTTCTTGTATTTAATAAGAGGGTACTCCTATCTCGATTAAGACGTCCTACTGTCATTATGTGAACCTACATCCAAGCAAAGCCTAGCTGAATTCTAAGAAGTACACCTGGGGTCTATGCCCACTCTTGCACGAAGGTCGTCCAACATGTCACTCTTTCGTTTCTTCTCCCAGGGAATAACAAACAAATTGGCATCAAGTACAAAGAAAGATCCTTGCTCGTTTCCCATGATGAGATATTGTTTTCTTTCCATCATGTCTGGACATCTGCAGCCAGATCTTCTCTTGAATTCGATGACGTCTCCTTGTACGAGATCTGTTTTGCTTTTCTTGATTACCTGCTGTAGCATTACCTCATACGTGATCCAGGATTGTTTTCTTAACTCACGCTCGTCCAGCAGGATCACTTCGCCTAAAACAGCTACAAGAGATTTATTTAAGACGGGAGCCTCTTTCAAAATAATGCGTTTCTTGAGTTTACTAACGTTGCAAACATGTTTTCACGGTAGATTTCTATTTACTTTTAGATTTGTTGCCTCTGTTGAGGCTTACTGCATGCTGGAAATCAGTTTCACCGTGAGAATACATAGTTTTGTATGTCACGATTGCAATTCAAAACTATATAAAAATTGAACGGAAAGTTTTCCATCAAGAATGGTATTAATTTTATTTAAAACATCCGAGAAAGGGGACCAGACAAAACATAATAAGAGAACTTCCGAGTACTTCGAAGACATCAGCAATAAAAATATGTCATATAGGCTAGCAACATCAGGGAAGGATTTTACGGACTTCCCTTGATTCCCGTATAATGAATGTCGCAATCAACTAGTTCTCGTGTCCGTATATATTCGGGGTGAAAAACGACGTATTTTTATCTGCTATTAGCAGGAAGTCTTACTCCATTCACCTCCTAAAGAGACGGTAAGAATTCCTACCCGGTAGAATACATTGAGCTGCCTAAGACTCATCCTCGGAGACCCAGGGGCTACTAACCGGAACGAACCGACATTTTCGGGCGAGCGATATTTTCGGCGCGAAAGTTTACTTCAAGAGCTGAAGAGCCCCTGGGAACTTATTCTTACCGAACCAGTTCCAGAAGCGGTCGAATTCCGTTCCTCTGATTGGCCAGAAAAATATTTTTCTGGCCAATCAGCGAGGAAGTCCAGCCGGGTAACTCCGTCGTCCTCTTACATGAAGTGGTTTTCTCTATCGATCGACCTACTGGGTACAGCGGTAAAATTCCAGTAGAGTTTCAGAAAACACGATTCGACGAAACCGAGGGAATCGCAAGCCGTAACATAGGGGCTAGGAAGCAATACTCTTCCATCAATTTTCTCGGCCGATTTATCGAAGTTATATCGTATATTTTTAGATTTCTACAGTGTTGTTTTTGGTTGCGGGGAAAGCTAGTCGTGTGCACAAGTTTACTTATTATTTCTCCTCGATCGTTGAACAACTTCTGAAACTTTCCACGACGTGCAAATCGCTGTTGCACGGGCCACGCAACTATGTCGACCGAACGTGGTAACAATCGGCTAATTACTGCTAAATACAGTGCAAGCACCTTCTTGCTATCGCGCAAAACCAAAATGCAACTTTAGTTCGTCTTCTGTACGATGGATCCACACTGTGAGGTCGATTGTTGCAGATTGTGTGTTTTTTTTTTTTGTTTGTTTTTTTTTTTGTTTTTTTTGGATAAACGAAGGAAACGAAATATTGTTAGGGAATTGAAAATTCCCCAAATGATGACTATGCAAAAGTATCGTTATGGTTACCTGAAATAATTTTTACCTGAATTTCATTCTGAACGACAACAGCGATAGATCATAGCTGGAGACTATAGCTAGAGATAGATCATGGCTAGAAATTATAGAATTGTTAGGGAATTTACTCCTAACACTGTTGACAGCCATATTGCTTAGGGATTTTTGGTTTGGCGGGATAGCAAGAAGGTGCGTGCACTGTAATTAGGAGTAAATTAAATAAGCCGATCGTTACCACGTTCGGTCGAAATAGTTGCTTGGCCCGTGAAACGGCGATTTGCACACCGTGGAAAGTTTCAGAAGTTTTACAACGTTCGAGGAGAAATAATAAACAAGCTTGTGCACACGACTAGCTTTCCCCGCAACCAAGAATAAGCTCTTGAAGTAAACTTTCGCCCAAAGATATCGCTTCGTCCCAGCTTGTAGCTCCTGGGTCGCCGAGGATGACTGAAACTGCGCATGGTTGTTTTATCTCGTCCATGAGGTGTTTCTTACCAAAGTCATATTCGTGACATGCTTTCTTTACCAGCTCATGAGTCTTGAATGACCGTTCAACACACGATGAACAGTCATCTGTAGAGAAGGAACACAATAACATCAGAAACTATTAGCAACAATTAGAAGGATTAATTTGGCTCTGCTATTGAAAGTTTCGCAATGTTTGGGACACAAGCGTTGGTATGCAAAGGGTAACATTCCGCAGGATAAGCATGCTTAGGGAAGAAGGCTAACCAAGCACCGCTTTTTACTAAAATATATAAGGTACGAGGGCCCCAAACTTCTCGCCCTTTACTGGAACAAGAAAGGGTCGTTTATTTTGTACACGATTAGTGCCACTAGAATGATTGTTGTTTTTTTGTGCCTGTTTGTTTGTTTGTTTGTCTGATTTATTAACAGTCATTATCGATGCTAAATTTCTATGGAAAGCTAACTTATTTCTGACATAGTGTAACAAAATAGGACATTATCATTTATTTTAAAACTCAAAAAAGATTCTAAACTAGGCAATGTATTCTTCGTTTAAAAAAATACCTTGTGAACACCTGCAATAACCTTCTTCACAAATGCCTGCAAGCAGCGCACTTTTTGGATTCGGTGAATAGAATTTCGTGCAGGAATCAGCTGTGACGAAATACAAAGCAGCACGAAGTGAATTATAGAAATGAAAAATTCACAAGTTATTTACCAATTAACCAAGAAATTGGCTTACCAGGTTTGTAATAATCATAAACTTTCACTGGAACTGGTTGGACTGTTCCTACGTCATACATTCGGTTAACCACAAACGTTGCACAAAATTCGTCAGTGCTAGAGATCTACAATAAACGAAAAAAGTTGTAATGGTTGACGTAGATAATTAATAATGTATGAATGAAAAAACACCATGTCTCAAACATATCTTCAGTGGAATTGCTATGCAATCCCTCAAATTTTATTGCATTTGGGGAGATAGACGAGGTTGGCGATTAAGTCTATTTTTAGTAATAATGAATCCCGAAATAACCATGAAAATTTCATTCAACAGTTACACCTCAGCTACGTGATAACATATTAAACTTAGGAGCCTTTTATAAAAAGATACCTAAGACTACTATTCGAGTTGGCTAATATATTGCCTAAGGTGGTTTTGAATCTCACGTCTCCTCAAAATATTTCTTGTATAATAAACGGATGAAATAATCCAATGTCAGAAAGGCAAACTTGACAATAGCTCGTACTCGTTTTTCGTTTGTGCGGACTTTCATCTTATGTAGCTGAACTTTGGTATGACAAAGATTCATGCACAGTAATTTCTGGACCGACCAGATACAATTAAATTTTACCTTAATAAACTAATTTTTTAAAAAAGGGTACCTTACCTCACTGACGTATAATATCACAGATCGGTCAGAAATTTCAAAACGGTCCACGGCTGGTCGGACGTTTTCCATGAGCTGTGGAATGCGGGTAAGCACATAAAATCAGTCCGATATTGATCTTAGTAATCACATTTATATGAGACTGAAAATATTGCAGCTCTAACACTGACAGGAGAATTTGTTTACCTCAACCAGTGAATCCTTGTCAGGAGTAAATCCAGAGAAAACTCCAACCTCCATTATTGTCATACCAGATTTACCATCCTTCAGATACCTGTTGTCAGATCCGCAAGTGGCCGGCAATTAAGCAAGTAAAACATAAACTACAATTATGTCGGATGGTTTGTTGTTGATTCTTCCCCTTCTCATATACATAGGTAATTAGCAGCGACAGGAAAATGTAAAAGTTAGTGACCAAACTGGCAGAGAAGAACCATTATCAATTAAACTATGGTTACATCTTGTGTGAGTGTGAGATATCTACAAAAACTCCAGAAAGAAGCTCATATCAAATTTCTTGGAATTTTATTCGACTTTTTCCAAAACTCAGTAGAAATCTATCTCTTTATTAATTGGATTTTAGGGTTACAGCTTTGGCATCATGACCACAAAAATATGTTCCAGTGATGCCCAGCCAGTGGCCAGGTTTCTGGTCACCCAATCCAACAATCTGTCAGTGGAATTTCTACTCAACATCCTAAAATAAAGAATTAATTACACGTGCAGCTCTTTCATGACCCACCTTGCGCAAATTTTAAGTTGAAGCGAATCCGGTGGCTTTGCATCTGTCTTTGGTCTTTTGTGATACTTTTGATTTTTCCTTCTCTTTTTGCAAGATTTTTTCTTCTTGTTTTTCCGACATTTCTTGGCCTTTCTTTCTCTTTCGTCTTCGTCTCTTCTCTCCCTCGAACGTCCCATTATTGGCACCACATCTTCTTTGCCCTCTTTTATTTCTTCTCTAGTTTCAATCTTTAGAGCAAAGTGGCAAGATTCGTTCTTCGCTGATGGTACATTATGACGGACTTCAATCTGAAAAAGTAGCCGAATGTTTAAAGCAAGTATTCTTAAAGGACGATTAGCTTGAAGGGAACAATCCTCGTAACCATTCTTTAATTTATAAATAAAACGAGTGAATGAAAGCTGAATACTAAAACAGCGTCCATACTACGCCGGAGAAATTTGAAAATGTAGCCTTATTTCTGCCGTTAGGTTTACCGTCCACTCTAATCCGTCACGAAAACGGAGCTTTTTGAAAACGCTCCTTTCAACCGGAGGAAATTGAAAACGCCAGCTTTTCGTGTTCTTGTGGACAGTAAAGATTTTGAAAACGGAGCTTTTCGAAAACGATGGCGTCACGGTAACCATTTGGTTTCCCTAACCGAGCTTTCTCAAACACAAATCCAGAATTACCGGTGATTTTTGTTTTTGTTTTTGTTTTTGTTTTTTTTAATTTCTCCGGCGTAGTGTGGACGGAGAACATTTGATGTGTTCTAAGAGAGAGACCTCTGTTCTCAAATTTCCGACTGCGGCGTAGTGTAGACAGGGCCTAAGTGTTCTGAACCGAATCAAGTAGCAATTGTGCAGGGGCAACTGTAAAATAGCCATTTCACCTGCAATTGACCCACTCCACTTCCTGATGAGTCGATAAACATTTCTCCGCCCAAAAGACGCGTGACCTGTGGAAAGAGAAACGCCATACAAACAGATCAGTTTTCCTATGTGCTCAATAAGGTATCACCTTATCTGATTTGGATCAGGCATTAACTAACATTGGTCTCAACTATTCTCTCACAGTTGAAGGCATTAGAATTTTCATAACTATTGTTATTAAAACTTTTAGTTTTATCGATATCCTCTGTTTGCAATGAAAGCTTGGTTGAAGCACTCTAAGTGTTATGAGAGCACAGAAAAGACCGAGATTGTTACACAGATGCGCATTAGAATCGCAAAGATGCCAATTCGCCGGCTACGAATATTGTACTTCTCCCTTAATCGAATTTAACTTAAATGTTTACGCAGCGTGCGTTGGATATCATGTCACAACCGCTGTGGTTTACTGTTATACAAACGAAGTCAATTTCAGTAGCCTCGACGTAACCACTATCGTTCTGGGCCGGGTTGTTCAAAGCCCGGTTAAGCTAACCCAGGATTAGCGAGAATTTTGATTTCAGGTTTGCAACTTTTGGGTGCAGTTCCCYGTTTATATTGTTTTTCCTTCAGGTTTGAGTTTGAAAAACCTCAAACTACGCAAAACATAATCAATGGAAAACATTTTTATACAAAGAAAATGGATACTTCGGTTAATGTTTAATCCTGGGTTAGCGCTAGCCCGCTTTCGAACAACCCGGCCCTGTTAGATAAGGTCGTATGTCCTTGTAGGGCGGAAGCCTGCAATGGAAGTTTACTTCTTGTGTCATTTCACCAATATGCAATAAACGTAGATTTTTCATTTATACATACTTCTTCTTGTCTGAGCAGGAGGGCGTTGTCTGCATCGACGTGATATTTCCTCTTCCAGTTTGCATCTTTCTCGGAGGATACAGACACACGCAAGTCAAGATTGGCGCCAGCAGTCTTCTCGCTGTACTTAGATAGGGCTTGCAACGCAACACAGGTGTCCTGTCGATTCAATCAGTGATCAATTCAATGAGCGTAGAACAAATTCTGTACAGTAGTTTACTAATTAGAAAAACTTAAGACAAATCTCATGGCTGATATAGAACAAAAATAAACTTAAACGTCAGTGTAAAGGAAAATTGCATTACGTTAACCATACCGTGGTATCGAGCTAAATTTACGGCACCCTCCTTAATACATGTAGGTTCCGGTTCTTTTTTGTAAACAAATTATACACCAAGTCTTAAATAGTATGGCTGTAATACTGTAAAGGCCAGGCAATTTCAGTTATTCAATAAGGAAAGGGCTCGACTACTACAGAAACCTGTGTTGATACAAAGCCTCCAAGAGGGTCCCTCTGATTTGTGAGCCATGTGACTATTGGTCCTGCCAGCTTAAGCCGTCCAACCGCCATTTGTGCCAGCAGTGCATAAGCAGTGGTTTCCACGTTTAAAGCATTGTCTCCAGCATCCCAGTATCGAGTTGACTCGTCTGAAATTTAGGAATAAATACCTGTTTCTGTCCTGAACACTAAAACGTTATAGATGAATGATAAAACTGCATTATATTGACACGCTTTTAGCAAAATGTGATACGCATCAGCCGCGTGGGATTCGTTGCTTGATGCTTATAGAAAAGTGCTTGAGATGACAAGGAACTATTGACAAATAAGGATTACTTTTTGCATTATCAAAACTGAGCAGGTCGCAGCGTTCTTGCTAAAATACTTACTTCTTTTGTAGACCTGTTTCTCGAGGAGTTTTGCATTTGCCTTGGAGCTCATGCTACTTCCTGCCAGAGCTAAAGCGTACGTCGTGAGCGCAAGAACGTTCACTTTTTCGATGTTTTTCAACTCTGTTTCCATGAAAGCCACTGCATTCTCAATCCTCTGGCTCTTATTCTGCATAAAAGTGAGTAATCTTAGTACATGAATAACAAAACTACACTTGAAGAAGTACCCTGAGGATTAGCTCTTTTTACCTGACCAAGACATCCACACTCAAGAAGAGAAACTAAAACGAAAGCCGTCATCGCTACATCGCCATGAGTACCACCCTGGTTAAATAAAAAGCATCAAAGAGTGATAATTTACTACGAACTTCACAGGAAAAGACAACAAAAACTTCTTACACAAAGCGAGCTGGTTAAATTGATCTCCGTTTGCAGTTTTGAAGAAATAATTTCAGTTAAGTCGAGTCGACAACAAAGTGTAGAGGCTCGACTCACTTTGTATGTATTGGACAACCCTCACCGTTAATCACTCTGGTCAATCACGAATTACATAGACAATATAGCAAACCATTCAAAAATCGAATCAAATACATTTAGCTGACGTGAAGCGCGGGAAAACGAGTGCAAGCGAGTCACGATTGGTCATGGTTTTACTTCTGAAAAGATGACAACGAAGAGTGGCGAGTTTTGCCAAAACCAAAACAAATGCGAATTTCGACCCTGAATGAAAACCATTCTAGTTATACGTTCTAGGTTAATTTGGGAATGGGCACGTTGGGTGATTTTGAGAAAGTTCTGTCGAAAATGACTTTGAGGATAATAATAAAATGGCTACACAAATCCTATAATCGAAGAAAGAAGCCACACAACCGAAGCCTTCTAACAAAATTATCAATGTCAAGCAACGTGAAGGATGTAACTAACCATCATGGATTTGTGGATGATATCCTTAACTTCAGGAAAGGCCCCATCCTGACGCTGGTTTTCAAGGAGCCAACTTACTGAGTCACAAACTAGAGCCTCGTCAATTTCAATCCCATCGAATCCCTGTGCAGCACAAAACACTCTGGAGGCAAACGCAGTCAACCTGATATTTGAGGAACACATCTGGTCAGAACTTTTCAGAATGACAACTTTTTGTACTCTTCTTGTTTGGAAACTGTATACATTAGAAATTTATCAGTTTGACATTTTAATTATCTTTCATCTAAATTTTTGTGAAGCCAATTGCTATGTGTTACGGATATAATCTAGGGTTACAAAAATGAAGTAGCTGATGTTTTCTAGTTTATTATCAGTAACATTCTTTGTTGTGTTTGTAATCAACTTGATATGAAACATAAATCACCACGTTTAACTTATTTAGGATAGAAACCTTGATCCTTCGTTGACCCTTCATTTAACTGGCGTTACTGTAGCCAAGCTTAGGTTAAAGGTCAAGGTTTGTGTTTTTCCTTGCATTCACTTGATGTTTCAATGATGTCTTGGTTTTAGACTGAAAACATGCTTACCACGTGCTGCCAGGACGAGATTCTCCAAACGCGCTAAACGACTTGTCATTCCTGCGGTAATTCAAAGCCCGTTGATAACCTGAAAGATATTCAAAATATAATAATAATATAAAAATAATTATATAATAATGATGATAATAAATTATAATAATATACATTAATTTATATAGTGCTCATTTCCAGAGGTCAAATGCGCTTTACAATGTTTGTAATTAAATTTAAACTCCACGAATTAAACGATAAAAAATAAAAAATTTCTAATAAAACAAAAATGTAACTAATTGTACCATTAGGGTTTAAAATGATTGAAGTTCAAAACTGCTACTACTTAAAATTACAATATCATAATAAAAGTTAGAGATAAAAAAATTTTAATAAAACAAGGATCATAATTTGGTGCGGTTGGGTGCCAACCGCACCATTGTGATCCAATTAAGTTATCTAATTAAAAGCCTCTTTCAAGAGCAAAGTCTCAATCTTATTCTTAAAAACTATATAACTATTACGGCCTTATGCGCCTACTGGCGCCTCGAGAACTGATGATGATGATGATGATGATGATGATGATGATGATGATGATGATGATAATTAATGATTCGTCATTCCCTTTCACTTGTCATATTAATACATGAATCCAATCCCATCCCGACTACTCACCTGATTGAATCATTCTGTAGGCCTTTGACTCTATGTCAGCGGTTACCTGCCTGGTCCTTAACAGATACTGCATCACGTAAACATTAGGAGCCAAGAATATCATCGTCTGTTCTCCGCAACCCAGGGGCATGCGCAGAAGGCTTTCTAACCCGCCGGTTATCAAGCTTGTGACTACTGGACCGATAATGTTTCCTAGGTGAGAGCAAAAATATATGTGTGTTTTTTATTTTGTTTTATTTTGTTTTGTTTTTGTTTTTTGCTTTTTCTGTTGATGGAAGAGAAGGAGACACTCGCTGTTTACACTACGCCTTTGTATACCAAATTAATAATGTGGAAAAAATCTGTTCACAAACTAAGAAAACAGAATTCTATTTTACTTTTACAACACTCAGTGCTTAGGATAGTCTAAAGCAGTTTCTTGTTATCAGGCCTTTCCACTTACTCAGCCCTCGGAGTGTATAAAGAATGAAAGCGAGAAAGTCAGATGAACGCAGCCAGGGTTTGATAAGGTCTTGTCCTAAAAAACCCGAGGTTGGTTTATGAGTAGCTGAGTCGTCAAACCTGTAAGTGACATAAAAGCTTTCAGGGATCCTGGTATTGCCCGGGAGGGAACTTTGAGGAAGACATTGTCTACTTGCATGCCATTGTGAACAGCTCCTAGAAAATAATAGATAATCGGCATTGAAGGCATTTAATATACAGACAAAATTTTGTTTACCTTGCTATCTAGGAACAACTTGATCATCTCGACATTTTACTTACTATCGTGTTTCATGCCTGGAGCAGGATTTGACGTATTGGCTCTGTCTGGCGCCTCGTCCCGTAATACTCCTGTGCAACAAAAATAGTAAAATTGGCAAAGTCGCCATGAGGGATAAAAGGAAAAAACCTGTCAGAGGTATAACGTTTAATAAGTTAGCAACTGTTGTAAATACCTATTAAACGGCCACCCCCGGGGAAATGGAGAGTGGCCGCTTATTAAAAGGGGTTGGCCGCTTAACAGAGGCAAAAACAATAGAAAAGCCCTCTTCGGGACTTTGATTACTGGCCCCCTAATAGGGGTGCCGTTTAATAGGTGGCCGCTTAAAAGGGGTAGGACTGTATACATAAAGTGATATCGAGAATTGTCAGACTTCCAAGTGTCTTAAGTGATTCTTTAAAAATGGGAAAACTGTTTTATCTTCAGCTTTACCTATTTCATTATACGCTCATAAACGATTGTTTATAATTACTCGGTAAATTTGTCTCTCACTCATGCAATCTCTCACTCATCAATGCAATCAGTTAATCTCCCAATTAAGAAATCAACTAAAAGTGCAGTCAATCATAGCATGTTTATCTGACTAACTAAACCCGCAGTGAATGTGTTACTCGATCAGTTGACCTTGTGGATCAAGCACAAATGAATACGTTCTTCGTCGTTCAACTCCTTCCGGCTGAGGAGAAAGGAAAAAACATAAAAGTCATCAGAATCTATCCAATAGCCATACCATGAAAGAATGACAATAATTACGAAGTAACCTGGGAAACTGAACTACGTATTGCGTAGCTAAATGTATCAGAGATCTTTTATGGTTGTTTCGTTCACCATGTGGCGCTTAAATCAAATTCAGTTCTATAACACGAAGCAGCTTGCATTGGAATATTGCTGCGCCCCCTGTATGGATTATAGACCATGCCTGGTAACCCACTGCGTTTTGTTTCATGCTATCTATATTCTTGGTACGAGAGAAGTAATGTTAGAGAAAAGTGTCTTGGCCAACACAGCCGGAGACCTCAGTCGGCCAAAACCCAAACCAGGGCGACAAAGTCCAAAGTCCAAAGCACTAATCATTAGTCTAGCCGACCTCTAATCAGTCATCTTGGGTAAAGTAACAAGTTATCTTTTTGTTGTTGTTGCTTTTATTTTGCTGTAGTTGTTGTTTTGCTGAGTGGATGTTGATTATTTTTTGCGAGAAAGTTGTCGTTTCCCTAAAATTTGAAATGAGGCTTACGTCACCCCTCTTCTTCTATCCACTAACGGCAAACCTGCTAAGGTGAAAATTCAACCAGCCTTACCACTACAAGAATACTCCGGACCACGGCATCGCTTCCCATGGCTTGACCAGCCATCCAGTCTTCCCCGACGACTTCAGCAGTGGCAATCACTTTGATTGACACTTTTCCTAGTTTGATAGGTACAATGGGAAACGAAACAGATACTGCATCGTTTACTTTTACAGATAACGACACAATCGGTGACTTTTGACCCGCTGGCACGTTAGTGCAGAACTCCTTGCTATCTTCTAACTTGACTTTAACCTGCAAAACAAACAGCCACTGAGAATAATTTTGTTAACTGTTTTTTCGTTTGTTTGTTTTTCTTCTTAGCTTTGTTTTTTCGTTAAGAATGGCATGAAAGTTGTTCTAAGAGTCAGTCGTATATTTTAGCATTGATTCCACAAGCGCGCGTTGGATATGAGATGGTAGATAAGAGTTGTTTTATTAAAAACGCTCACAAAATATAGAAAACTAAAAGTAAAATAAAGATAAAGATAAGAACGCCCAAAAAAATTTTGTGTACGCTTACCATATTTGTAGAGCATGGTATAATGGCTCATAACCCATGATGGCTAAGCCAATGAAAACTCTTGAATTTGCATTATCCAATGATCCAGTTTTTAATAATATGCTTACAATTCATTCACTAGTTTCGCTCCTTGTATGGCTGGTACGTAAAAATGAGATGTTCATTGGTTGATTGGTTGGTTGGCACAAAACGTTTCCGATCATTGTAATCATCATCGGCGTGTCTGTTCTACAAACAACTGTGCGTTCTTACAACTCAGGCTTAAATAAATATAGCGTAACGCCAGTTCCCAAATAGGGAATGATATGATTTGAAATGATTGAGCTTTAAGTTCGAGATGGATGCGTGCGATGTAAAATGCTTTTGTGATTCTTCGTTTCACCCAGAAGTGAGCAGTAGCTAAAACGTCACTTGAGAAAATGTGATTTGGATTTTCTTGGATGTGTTTTGCTAGTTCGGCGATTGCTTTTTGACATCGGAATGTTCCTTAACACTGCCTTCAAGGTTGCGCGCAGATTTGCCAATATAAGCTTGTCCACAACTTTTGCATAGGATGCACTACCAGCATTAATTTTACCTTTAATTCGAAATTTCCATAGTTGAACACTGAAGCAATAACAGAAATTTGTTCTCCTCGTTGGACAGAGTAAGGAAGACGAAGCGATACGAAGAAATCCTTAAATGTCTGGATGTTCAGTGCACGAGCCACTCCAAGGCCTGTTTGGTTTGAAATACCAACAGCTTGGACAACCCAGGTTGTAATGGTGTCAGGAAGGTTGGTATAAAAGGCAAACTTTCCGTCTTGACTAAAACCAAAATCAAACACGCTTTGTAAATGAATGGATAAAAGTCTCGTTGAGATTGTATCAATGAGAGAGAAGGCTTTCAAGGGTAACGTCCTTACGGAACTATTAGCTAAACTTTTATAGTCTGGAAGGCTTATGAAAGATAATTATTAACCCTTGTTACTAAGGTACATCTACCGTAAATCCTCGAATTAGCGCCCCCTTTCCCTCCTACCCCCATTTTGTGCACGAGAAATGAGACAACAAAGGATGTATAGTTTTCGTCATGTAGTATTAGATCTGTACATTGTTTCAGTTTGTGAACACGTTAAGTGAACACGTTGAACACGTTAAGTACCAACGGTGTCGCTATTTAAACTTTAGGATCAGCTTTTTGTGTCAATAAACAGCTAATGTTGGTGTTTACGTGCAGATGATGTATTAAAAAATGATCATGTCAGGTCACGATTTGGGAAAAAATTAAATAAGCGCCCCGCCTCAAATAAGCGCCCCCCGTCTTCTAATTCGAAGATTTACGGTATAGAGGATATTACATGCCCGCGCGTGGATACAAATGTTATCTTCGAGTGTTCAACTCGATATCTCACGAGTGAGCGCAGCTCACTCGTGAGATATCGAGTTGAACACGAGAAGATAAAATTCGTATCTACAAGCGGGCATGTAATATTCTGTTTATTATATAAACATACTAATGACGACGTTTTAGACGATTTTCCGAGGATTTTTTGATATCCTACAAGTACAGTCCCGAGCAAGCTTGGTTAATAAGATATTTATTCCACGACTGAAAAAGTTTTGAAAAAAGAAATGCCACTATCACGGACTGAAAAGACACCACAAACTTCAAACGTGAAATTAAACCGCGTATCTCTTCTCATACATTCAAAAAATGAAGAGAAAATAAACGAAAGAGAGTTGGACGAAGGAATCTTTTACGTGCATTTAAGTGAGTTCTTTCAGGAAAGTAACCTATAAAACTACCAGAAAATACACAAGAGTGGTCCCACGGGGTCATACGGGGCAGCGCCCAGTTCAATGCATAGAAAATACGCGCTTGACGTTTGAGGTGTCTTCCCAGCCCGTGATCGTTGGCTTTCTTAAACCTTTTGGGTCGTGTAATGAATCTCTCCTCTTTACGAAGCTTCCTCGGGAACGTAGAGCAAGAAAATCAGGTCTTTGATCTTTTTTGCACGGCTCTTGCTGCGCCCGGTCCGTACCGTCAAAGACCCCGGGCTGACATTCCCCCAGTACAGCCCTTATGTTTGGTTAATAACAAATATATCTCTCCGTCTTTATAATTACTCACTGCATATTGCGATGACTGGTTATTTGGGGATAAGCTTATCGCCATCGAAGTTACCAGCTGGTGACATTTTCGTACAACATACTTCATATAATCCAGCTTACCCAACAACACCCTCGGCAAAAATCCAAGTCTCAGGAAAATACTTCCTTATTTGTCCCTGGCTGATCTCGTCATCTTCAAATTCTTGTTCCAACTGATGGACTTTTCTTGAGCGAATTTGCGTAATTCTAGGGTCTGGTTGACAAATTAAAATAGATAAAAGCTGTCGTAGGGCAAATGAACTAAACAACACGACCAAAACGGCTTCAAAGTGACTCCATTGTGAGACAAATTATAAAATAGGCAAACGTTTATCTCTTATCTTACACCAAGTAGAACAATAAGTTAAGTTCTGTGTTAAAATATAGCAATTTCGGTCAATCTTTATACCTTTCTCCCCTGTAGCATTAAAACAGCATCGAAGGAATTCTTCTTTACAGATTTTGCTGGCACCAGCCATCCAGTACCGGGCACGAAGAACACAAGACGCTCTGGCTGGTATATAACCCTCCTTGCAGCATTTATCCAAATCTAAAGAGAAAACCAAAAAACGAACAGATCCGATTGAAGTCAATCCTAAAAGTGATATTAAGCTATATCCCAATTTAGTCATTTCTCAGATGCACAAATCAAATTACTTTCAAATTGAGGAAACCTTACACAGATATAATAGTTTTTCTACGGTTGATAAACAGCAGAAAAACGATGATCCGAAAAAACAACGATGTTATTACTGAGATAAGCCCAAACTCCCTCACCTTCAGTCGACCTTTTCTGTTTCCTTTTGGAGTGTGGACATCCAAAGTCTGCAAAATTAAAGTAGCCTTATACATTCATTGTCTCCAAAACTCTTTTAAAATAGATGGTAATGGTACTTGTCAAGGTTTTTGTGAAGTAATGTTTTGATGATAAATTTAACTTAACGCGAATGAGGGCTTTTACGCCAGTTTTATAACCACATTTAGAATTCCTAGGGCAAGGTTCCTCTTCAAGCTGTGTAATAGTTCGCAGTTAAAAATCCGAAAATTGCCTCGTTTAACAATCCAGTAAGTAAAAATTCCTGAAAAATTCATGCTATTATGTATATAATTAATTCGAGGAAAATGACTTGATTAGTAGATTTGGCATTTACTCAAGTTGCTAAACGACAACAAATGGATTTTCACGTCTGCCTGAAAACTTCAATTTTTTTTTCTGTAGTTTTCTGTCAAGTGACTAAATGACATGCTGTTTTACACCTCTTTTCAAAGCTTTGCATTGTGTTCATAATGTAGAGGATGGCAATAGCCGGAAAGCTATTTGATGACTGTGGGAGCAAAACGTTGCAATACACTCAAGAGCATAAATTCAGTAACTTTTACAGTCATTTGTGTGGGTAATCAAATGATTCCGGGTGTAATTTGGAATAAATAACCACAAGTAAATTTTTCAAAGGCTAAGCTCGTAGGACGAGTGCAATTTGTAGTCTGAAAAATTTACGAGTGCTTATTTCTTCCAATTTGCATTCGAAATCATTTGATTGCTTGTTAATAATACACAAGTTCGCCTTTCTGCACCCAATTTCAGCTTTTTGCACTCAAATTCGACTTTCTGCACTGTTTTGGATTGATTGGCGTGTTTTCAGCCAATCAGCATGCTGAAAGGTTTGCATGTATATTATTATAAGCAAAACAACACCGGTGTAACTGAAGTGTAGCAGCCATACCAGAACGTCCTCTGCTGGCGATGTCCGTATTTGTGAGTACCACGGTCCCACTTTTCTATGAATAAAAAATTACACGCTTGGTCGACTGCGTGATTACCAACTGACCTCAGCCACCATTCACAAGAAATGTTATTGCCACTTTCAATCACTCAGTGAAACATATCTTAAGATACCAGAAGGAGCTGCAGTCAGCAAACGCTACTAACACATACGACTGTAATATGAGCCAAACATAACTTTTACTTATTAAAAGGACACAAAATTACAAGGGGGTTTCTAAAGTGCAACACCAAGAAATGACTTAAATTCAGTTCCTAATTCGTTTACCATTCAAATTTCTTTACAACGTGTAAGCACATAAAAGCAATCGAGCAAATGAATATAGTCCCAACTGTTGGTTGGGTTTTGAATTTCAGCACTTGGGTGTCTTTTTTTGTTGTTGTTGTTTTAGTATACCATTTTGGAATGTATCAACTTTACAAAAATTTATTCCTACATTAAGAGTTGCACTTACGTAAAACACATCCTCGCTATTTCTTCCAGATCCTACGCCACATCCGAGATCCATGGATTTCATTATATTAAATACCTACAATATACATTCACAATGAGATGGAGAAAATCGTGTAAACATGTGAAAATAAGCCCTCCTTCCTTCCCTCTCAGGCGAATAAACCTCCCACAAATCTGACACTGATAATTAGTCAATGAGTACGATTTTCCTAATCCCTATTTTAAGCCCCCAAATGTAAAGATTGTATTACATTCTATATTATTATTGATTCTGATTAAAGACTGCCACCGTCATCTTCATCGTCATCATCATCATCATTATCATCTGTTCTCCTTACGGCATGAAACGCATAAGGCCTCTTGGCAGACTGTGGGGCTTCTTTTCTCTTAAACATCGTTATCTCAAGAGACATGTACCATGCCGTTTGACCTAATACAACCCCAAAATAAGAAATAGAAATTTCTTCCTACAGAAATCCTATGCAATTTCAAAGACTTTGTTGCTCACCCTTTTCTTATTGAGTTTCTCGCGGTTTCTCAGGATATACACACTCTGATCAACAGCCAGCAGTCCGACTCTTGTACCAGGAGTGGCCGACAGCTGGATCTTATATGGAATACCCGGATGTTTCTGTGGCGTCTGACCGGGGGATTCATCATGGAATTCAACCTGCAAAGGATGGCTTACAAAATCATTAATTTAGTAGGAAAGAAGATCAGTTCAAATATTCGATACACAGTAGATTGTTCTTTGCTCTTGCAAAGAGCCAGCGCTCGAAACTTCTCTACGGCGATTAAATTCAAATAGCCTTGTTCAATATTACACTCTTCTCGGGAAACAATAAAGATACCTACGTAAACCCTACCCCAAGCCGCTACTTAACTAGTCTCAGGAACTTAACCCTAATTCCCAGATTGATGAAAACTTCTAAATAATAGATCGACATGCAAAAAGCACTATTTTACAAACATGAACACGTGCATGACTTGCCTTATTTGGTAATCCATCGTCAATGCTTAGCAGTGTACTGTCCGCGACAACCTCGCCGTCGTTTCCAAAGAAGAATGTCACAAGACGCGATGAGGGCGACATTTCCGGCAGAATTCTAAACCGGAAGCTTGATATGACACCCACTTTTTGGACTTTGACCCACTGGCTAAGTATCCTACCGCGTGCAATGACCTATATGGAGACGAATTTTTAAAAGCTGGTATGTAATCAGAGGGTCTTAAAAAGGAGTTTAGTGAGCTAGTCTTATCTTTTAAAGTTGCTGAAATAGTCCAACATGAGAGTATTCTTCAGAATACAGCATAAGATTAAATGCTTTTCATTGCTCTCTTCACTTCGATTTCTTTTTCAGATTCTCTCACTGCAAATAGAACGTTTTCACCCACGTGGGCAGCAGCCATGTAAATTTACTGGAACAAAAGAAAATGTGTACATAAGAAAAGAGTTCAACTCCCACAGGATTGGTTTGATACACAAACATGGGCACCGTTTCATTGTTTTGGTACACCAACATGGCTGCCGTGACGTCATGTGAAAGCGTTCCATATATGGCCTAATGAATTTTCCACTGTAAATAGTGATACTTTCTACCGTTCTTTTTGTGGGTTTTACAACTAACCTTATTCTCTCTCATTATCGTTAGTTCACACGTGTCTATGTGTTAGGCATTAGGTCATTTGTTGGTCCATTTTATTCCCTTATTGTTTGGCCACTTACGAAGAACTTTGTAAATGTTGCTGGTCCCACACCCACCCACCCCCCTCCCGTCCCTTCCTTCTTAAACACGTTCAATTCGAAACGTCACAGATGTATTTACACGCACTTTAAAACAGAGCAGCTTAACACTACCATGAAAGTAATCTTTGACGCATTCTTGTTGACGAACACATCACAGTTAAAATGCTGCTTGTCCTACAAAACAAATAACATGATACAATTACAACTAAATTTTAATACAAAGATTCTAAAAGCAAGGATAAGGCAAGTGCTGTGGATTGTCTTGAAATCTTTCTAGGTAAAACAGAGTGAGAATTTCATGAAACATACCCTTATAGCGCGGACGTACAAAAATGTTCTTGAGGGAGAATTGTACGCACGAACATCGAATTCTGTGAACGTGTTATGCTCCGTAGGTATACCGTCCTTTTCTGTCTCCACCTGAGTTTTAAACAAGAATGTATAAGTTTTATTAAGAATCCGAATTTCTTTACCGTTTGCAACCTTTATTTCTAATTTCTTATTTCATATGCATGAAGAAACTCTTTTACTCGCTTCTTCCTTAAGCCTCTCAAAGAGTTTCCGATTTTTAATATCCTAACATTCACGAATATTGAGTAACTAATCAAGCCAGCGTGACGTAATGGTATAGCTTGTTGCTTAGCAACGCCGAGGACAAAAATGCGGGCTCAGTCAATTCATGAAGGGACGGTGACATAATCAACTCCACCGCAGTTAAACACGCTGAGCGCGCAATTCGCGCCAACGCTGCGGCATGTAAACATCTCAATTCCCTGAGCTTCTACACTTGCAAACCACAAGATAAGACAGTCACTGAAACCGCATATGCAAAAAGAATTAAAGTACTTCTCCTTGTAGTTTATCGGCTCGTAATTTGGCATTGCTACTGCTCGTTGTGTAACGTATTCTACAAAATCACAGTTAAACTTCCAACTCTTACAAGCAAAGAGGCAACAAAAACTGGCAGTGGCGTTGGAATAGGATGAAGGTTTAGCTGCCGTGAAGTCGTCAGCAGGGTATCTTTGGCTCTACTGGAACGTTCAGAGAAAACATAGCAAGCAGAGTTTTTTGAGCACACCACAATAGCACACCAATTTAGTTGTAAAGCCGATCCAGACTTACTCTCATCTTCATTGCCTTGATATCTCCTGGTACGTCAATAACAAAATTAGCCCTGCCCTGATCATCAGTTGTGTCTTCGAAATTGACACCATCCTTTGCAGCCTCAGCTTTTCCTAGTTGCATTTTTCTTCCGGAAGCTGTTGTTGCTGTTACTGAAATAGACATGGGGATTCCAACAGCTGGTTTCTTATCGGGATACAACAAATCAACCTGATGGAAACAAAAAAAAAGAGGTTACATTTTATAGAACTCTCTTTCCACGATGATGCCTAAGGCTAAGTGGGCCTTACGTGGATCGAGCGGTCAGCGTTCTTACCCTAGACGGGCTCATTGTGTTGTGTTCTTGGCAGACACGTCATTCTCTCGGCCGGAGCCCCTCTTCATCCAGGGGCATGCAGGTTTTTCGAAAGCTGGTTAATGCTAACCCAGGATTAAAAGTTAGCCGAAGCATTCGTTTAGTGAAATATCAGATAATTCAAACTCGAAACTGATGGACAAAGAATATAAACAGAAAACCTCACCGAAAAGTTACAAAAATGAAATAGAAATTCTCGCTAATCCTGAGCTAGCTCAATCGGGCTTTGATTAACCCAGCACAGGTGTATAAAATGGTTCCAGTGAACTCCCGGCGCCATATCTTTCACTAGCAGCAATTAAAAAAGAATGGTCTTACAACAGTTTAAATGAAACAGCGGGACCTGGTGTCACAATACAGAATACAAGTAACCAACATGATCACAGAATATTTCAATCTTTGACTGCAGAACAAATACTCTCAGAGAATTGTTACGAGCTATCTTTCAAAAGGCGCTTTATCTTGTACCTTGACCATGAATGGCAGAGCCGGTTTAAAGTACTCAGCAGTTGCCTTGTGTTCAATCTTGAAAGGAGATTTGACAAAGTAAATTGCATTGTCGATTGCACTCTCCTTCTTCCCAGTAGTCTTCTCGATCACATCTGCCTCGACCTGAAGCCTTCGACCTTCCGGGAACCACGGAAGACCAGGGGCGCTCTTAATGTCGTCCGCTCTGATTTTAAAATAGGCTTTTCCATCCTTTAACTAAAAAGAAAGAATTAAAACATATTGAATCATGCACTGTTAACTGAATCAATCAGTTTAATTAATTATACATGTATTTCAAAGGCATTAAACCCCTCTAATAATGCGAAACTCGAAATCCTGAAGAAGTTTACAAGTACCCTACAGAGGCTCGAATGTCCTGATCTGCATTTAAATCAGTTTTTGTCCATAAATAAAGCAATGAAATTGGCAAAATTACCTCATCAGCTAATTGCCTCACTGACACAGCCCTGATGCGTCGCCCTACCATGGAAAACTTGACTAGTACCGTCCCATTTACTGGCTTTCCGTAAGTGTATCTGAAAAAAACCGAGAATATGACGTACATACAGATATTTTTACATAAATAGTTTAATAATTGCGTTTCCCGTCAATAAATCAAGCGTAGAGGCTGATTTCTACTGAACTTTTTCACTTTTTCATGGCAGCCATATTGGTATTCCAAAACAATGAAACGGCGGCCATATTGGCGTACCAGACCAATCCTGTGGGAGTTGAACTCCGATTCGTAGTTAAAAACTTCTTTTTGTTTCAATAAATTTGCATTTGCGTCCACGTGAGGGAAAACGCTCTATTCATCCTTGATTAAAATCAGTGTACACAAGTACTCTGGGAATAACTGTGTGCTCGCGTCACTTTAATTTCGTTAAAACACTCCTTGCTTTTGTGAAATTTAAATAAAGTAGAAAAATTATTTCATCACAAACCTTGCTTGAATTATACAAGTAATGGCTTTTACATTTGGTAGTATATATTTCGGTCCTGATATGCTGACGGAAAACTTTGGGAGCACTAAAATGAAAAATGGGTATAAGCAATAGAAACCCATTTGTTATGATATCTGCGATCGAGAATTCTAAATTCTGCACTACCAGGCCGTCTTCCGCCCATTTTTTTATACATGACTTCTTTAATTTTTTATATATTAATATTTTATGCATTACTTTACGATACATTAAGCACACACACCACTTCTTACTAACTTCACGCCACTAATGTTACTAACGCTTATATTAAATACAGGCATTACATTAGCAAACAATACATTACGCTACTTAACTTTCCTTCTTTACATTACATAACGGATCATTACTTACAATATATTAGAAACTTCAGAATGTGACCACTGAACTTTGATTGCTCATTGTTCGAGAAACAAATTCTTTTTAAACTGTTGTGTGTAACGTATTGAAATTAATTCCTACCATATTCTTTCACTTCAAACTTCACTGAGACATTTTGTGTGTTCTGGAAAAGAAATCACTTGTATTAGCGGCATTTTGAGCAACTGGAAACTTCTTTCTGAGAGTGAAAAAAAGTCAGTGTAATTCATAAAATGATATCATCATTAGCCGTTACCTTATGTCCGTGAAGTGCCAGGACAGTCCAGTTACCAATTAACGCAAATTCACTGAGACCAAAAATCTTTGTGATAAAACCTAAAGAAATTAAAAAACACTGTGTTCACTCGGATTGGTAACTAATTGTCGTGATTTTTGTTCGTTTGTCTGTTTGTTTGTTTGTTTGTTTGTTTGTTTGATCCTAATAATTGTTCGTAAAGTCTGGACTAACGCTCCCTCAAGCGATCGACAAAAAGAGCGTCACAAAAAGGGATTTCTGACCATTGGTAGCCACTACTAATGAGTACTTGACCTGCTGTTTCGTCCTCCCTTTGTAACCAGCACATCAAATTTTTAACATCCAATCATTTCCCCGCTCCAGACAACTTAGTACTGTTTCATACTACGGGAAGCATACAGCCCATAATGATGAAAAAGAATCACATGTTTTACCAGTTTCGGTGCTCAAGTCCCTCCATCTCTGTACCATAATTCCTTGAGGGTTCTGAAAAATCAGTACTTTTTCTTTATCCACTGTCTTAGTGATTGCTGTTAAATAATCTATATCATTCACAGGTGTAAGCCAAAATTACGTATCACAAGTACATGCGTTTCTTGAAGTAAGAGTTTTGACTTTTTGATTGAGCTCATTTAACATGACGTGTTTAAAAAAATTAAACTATCCAGCGTAATAATTCCAGAGTATTCCAGACAGAGTGAAGGCGCGATGGCTTCATATGGTTAGCGCGCCCGACGCCGGATTGAGTGGTCTGCGTTCTAGCACTGGCCGGGGGACATTGTGTTGTGTTCTTGGGCAAGACACTTTACTCTCACAGTGCCTCTCTCCACCCTGGTGTATAAATGGTGTTGTAATACTAGATAGGTGCACTGTGTGTGAGTCACTCAAATAATTAAGCTGCGACTGTGGGCAGAATGTGTGAACCGCTAAGAATATTTAAGCTATACATTTTTTATTCAATTTGAGCAGAGTTTAATCGTCTTTCGATTTAAATGTAGTTTTGTGTCAGTCACTTCGCGCTCGGAAAATAAAGCATAGAAGGTCAAATAGCATAAGGAAACAAATGGGTACTGGCGAATTTAATGTTAAGGGGTAGCCCTGCAATGGACTAGCATCCCTTCCAGGGGGAGTAGAAATATTCCCAGTCGCTTCATGCTACGGAAACCGGGATAAGCTCCGGCCTGATGGGCCACTTGACTCGTATGCAGACTTTACCTTTTTTTACCTTTTTAGACAGAGGCCAGCTCACTTACCTTCACTATAACTGTCACCTAAAAGCAAGGAAGTGGAAAAGGATTAGAGGCTTTTCGATTAAGAGCTTATTAAGAATATTGAATCCACCCTCTGTAGCTACAGATGACCATACATTTCAGAGTAATGGTTTTTGGAGAATTTGAAGGTCCATGACAAAAAAATGTCCAGGACCAGTAAATGAATTGTTTTATTCCTATCACCTATGCCCCTAGTAATGCTTTGTTATTGTAACGAGAAAAAGGGGATTAAAGTGGATTGAATGGCATGTTTCATTGTACTAAAAAACTCGGATTATTTTTAAATAATCCGAATTTTTTAGTGCAATGAAACGTGTTATTTCATTTTCAAACGACCCATTTTTCGGAAATTGTACCTGTATAGTTATGCCAATGGCCTTATAGAGTCAACGATTGGGATGAAGAAATAGACATGACTTCTTGTAGCTAGGCCATAAATCCATTCAATTGATATGAACATTAAAGTTCCCACCAACCTTTTTCTCCTTTTTCGGTTTCAGGTCAAAACCAAGAGGAATGATCCGTATTTTTACTGAAAATAAAACATAAACCACATTAAAACTTCGGCCAAACTTCTTCAACGCCGGCTGTTTTCTATTGGTCAGGCCAAGAAATATTGCGCAAAGTTTTCCGCTTTGTACACATAATAATTCCATCGTGAGGTTAAAATCATTGAGGAAATGAAAAACTCCAAACAAGTGCATTACGGTACAACTGAATCTTGCCATTCAAAGTTATAGCAGCACTTTGAAGGGACACACTTCATAGCGGGTTCGGCAGTCCTAGGTGTTCCCTATACATAAGTGGGTTAAGCATTGCTGTGGCTTTACGCTTTTATCAAAATTTACATCAGTGAATCTACATCTTCTTAAGATTCTTATCAAAATTCTATCTGTGAAAGGGAAATTGGTAGGAAAAAAAGACACTGAATTCATCGAGAATTGCCAAGTCTTGTTTGTACGTATGATCCCACCAGTGTTTTTTTGTTTGTTTGTTTGTTTGTTTGTTTGTTTGTTTTTCTTTTTCTTTTTTCAGACTGACTTTACCTTTTGTATACTCCAGGCTGCCACTTTGTCGTGGAGTGTAGATTGGTTTGTCTGTCTGTAGAAGAACAACGCCATCCAAGAAACTCACCAGCACCTTCGCACCTTTGTCAATGATGACGTCACTATCGTTTGACTTGGCCACCAGGAAGGCGTAACGATTAGTTGACACATCGTCATCGTCATCAATATCCGCAGGAAAATCTTCCGCATCCAACTAATGTTTAAATTAAAAAATGGAGCTAAAAAGGTTTCATGGAAGATAAGAGCGCGTTTTTTTGCTTCGGAAATGACCACCCAACTCAAGCACCAAAGAGAACAAGACGTATTGAGCGTCTGTATCGGAATTTGAACTTTTATACAAAACCTTTGCGTAACATATTCGGTTACCTTAAGTTTCAGAATACCAGGTTTCTCTGTTGAAAAAAAAAAAAAAGATTAGTTCTAAATAAACAATTTTTGTTTTTTGTTTTTTTAGGATACCAGCCTATGGATACCAGCCTCGTTGCTGAATGGGCTACCCTGGTCAAATAAAGTTACTTACTTACTTACTGACTGACTGACTTTTTTCAGTTACCTCTTTTTTCTTGACAAAAAGTCAGTCCTACTTAAAGAGAACTCATATGAGAAGTAATATATCAAAAAGTGGAACGCAAAGTTGCACCAGATTTCCACACACGTAAAAGACAGCTCAAAATACCATTCGCAATGGAGTATTTTTGACGAACTTCAACCCAAAAGAGTTTTCTTGGAAGTCGATGGCAACGAGTTTCTCTTGCCTCTGCTTCAAGAGGCATAAATTAAAATAAATGTGAAATGTTTTGCAGAACTCATCTCTAAACTAAGGCACTAAGACAACTCAATATTGGCCTATTGCTTCCGCAGGTTTCTCTAACTTGTAATTCGTCTTACTTGTATCACTATTCTTACAATTATTTTATATATTTAATACCGCTTGTGAAAACTCCGCTGGTTGCTGCCAAGTTTCTGTTTTTATCTGGATAATCTTGAGCGATAACTGTCACATTCACAGGCCTGTGGCTGTTGTACACTATAACTGAAACTGTTTCTTCCACGCCCACATGAAAGATGTTTGGAGCAGTGATGAACAACTGAGCATTGCTGAAAGAATAAACAGACAAATCAGAAAACAAACAAAAAAGGAACGAATGACTGACGAACCAGCCAAGCAAGCAACGAAAAATTAATGAACGCGACATGAATTTAGGTTTTAGCTCAGTTACATTTTCACATAAGTCATTACTTTTTTAACTTTTTCTAGTTGTTTTGTGATTTTTTGAGACGATTGTTGTAATGAACTTGTGTCGTGAAACCAAAACCAAACCAGTTACTTACCAATTAGACTACTCAGACAATCTCAAACCGTAGTAAAACCAAAACCAAAACCAAAGTAATTTCTTGATTACTTTCTATAGCTGGCTCCGCGAGGGGGTAAGATGAATCGAATCCATCTCCGCGTGATTGGCTACCCGACCCTCAAGAAAATGGCGTCCTGTTGCCATACAAGAAATCGTTTATTGACAAAGCCAATTCGATCAGGATGGCTGGATATATATTGGCCTCGATCTCTTTTGCGTGTTGATGGACTTCGACCGCGTCTTGGTCCATAAACAGCTTTCTCGACCTCACGCTCAGTCAATAACCCATTCTCATTATTTAATTAAAAATTATTTCAAGAATTCCCTTCAAACAACCCTTTTGAGAACTAAACGAAAAGATTTTGTGTTAGACGGATTTCACCAGGCTATAAATGTTCAAGTGGCAAATTATTGACTTTTCAATTCCTCAAGCCTCAACTCAAAGCGATTCCAAATGAAAATATAATTGCAACCTTCTTTCGACCCGTGGTAGCCAGTAATCGCGTTACACAATGCATCATTACAGCCAGTCGAATCAGACTTTGATTCTTTCTTCTTAGTTGTTGTTGCTGTCAGTTGTGTGCATTTTAGACTGACACCTTGAAGCGCACCAAACATACCGAGGGTATGAGGGTAAGGAGGACAATGTACAACCCCCTCTTCTCCTAGAGGGGAAGTGAAAGTGTAAAACTTCCGCTGTTTCAGCACGTCTTCAACAGATGAAAAACATATGCTGAAGCTTNGCTGGTGGAATTTGGAGGAGTGTCACTTGAAAATTGTATGATCCCCCACTTTCTGATTTTTTTAAAAAAATTCATGTGGTATTGAAAAAGTTACTGCATTGAAATTTCGTTTTGCTACATTTCACAAAATTTATTAAAAGAAAGCTGAAAGCTAGAAAGCCGCTTTTAACAAATCTTCACTCAAAAGAGTGATAAGTCAATTTCAGCTCTTCGTATTACTGCTCGTCCTGAGCGTGTTGTAGCTGGCCGCTCGTCTGCATATTCCTCGTCTGAGGCGATAAAAGCAAGAACGACATCATTTGAGTAGTCTTCAGAGTCAGGGCCTAACAGGAAACTATGTGTCAAAGAAAAGAAAATTAAAACAAAACCGTAGGAAATCAAAGGGCAGAAAACGCAAACGGTTTGAAAACAACGTCCGACGCGTGTATCATAATCTGCGATGCAAATCCCCTTGCAAAAGTGCTTCCCAGTTATCTTCTTTATCCTCCCTCCCTGACAATCCCTGAAGCGTGCATAAACGTTGAAGATGTAGCAGCAATGCTGCTAACACGGGATGCCGCATTCATCGCTCACCTCCTGCAATCAAGCTACTTCAGCAACGCGGCAGGAAGCAGGCTGATTACCAGAAGATTACCAGAAGTAAGAAACAGGATGTATTGCTTCCTGCATCCTGAAGATTATAGCTCAAAGGTCGGAGACACGAACGAAGAGGAAGAGGAGGATGAAGGGGAAGACAACGAGGAAGAACAGGAGGAAGAAGAAGAGGAAGGTAGCGATGACAAGATCGAAGAGAGCGTCGAAAATGAGGAAGGGGACACCTTGTAGTAGTTTCATGCCCCTCCCATTAAATTTCTAAGAGAAAAGCCCAGGGAACGAGGTCAGTTTCAATTCAGGACTCACATTATTGGTCTCAGTTTAATATGCGCTTGACAAGAACATTTTTATGAATGAAAAGAAAATTGTTACTATTCAAGCACTGTTATTATGAAAGATAAAAGCTGTTGAGAAGTGTTCTTGTTACCCTGGAACTGTTTTAGCATATTTGTTATAAATAAAAGAGGAGAATTTTTCTTCAATTTGTAAACATCTCTTATCCTATTTTTAATCTAATTTTTTCGTCCGAACCCCCCCTTCCTTCATTTTTTTCGGCCAGCCTCCCGTTTTAGGCTAAATTTTTTCGCGTGCTCCCTTCCCCATTTCCCACCAGCCCCCTCTCTCATAAAAAATGAACGGTCCCTTAAGTCTCGGGAGACTATATCTATTACTATTTAACACGTTTCCGAAAACGTGCAACCGACTCAACATCGTAGCGATGGGAGTTCTTGACTTAGAGTTTAGAAGTGGTTTGAGAAAGTAAAAGTAATTGCAGTTCCAACTATTATCTGAAAAAGAAGGATTCTCAGTAGTGGCTACACTGCGAGCAGTCTCTTTTCCGCGAAACTCCGTGGGAAAGAACGCAAAACAAGTAAGCGTGCGAGCGTGACTCTCAGCGTGACGTGCGAGCGTCAATGCCGCGAACCGCTTGCGCTAGTCTAGGGAGTTTACGAAACCACGACGGCAACGGAAACGGAAACGTCACCGAACAAAAGACTTAATGAGCAGAACAATGGCTGTGCACGTGCGTCATGATTCTTGGTACATTTCTTTGAGATTCGTATGTAAAATATAAATCCATCTATTAATCGACGTTGTCCTCGGCGTCGCCGTCGTGCTTTCGTAAACTTCCTAATAGCGGCTCGCGACATCTCCGCTCGCACGTCACGCTCGCATGCTTAATTGTTTTGCGTTATTCCCCACCGAGTTTCGAGTAAAAGAGAGACCGCTCGCAGTCTAGAGGTTGTCGGTTTCCTTTTCATAGCCATGTATTAGAATAAGGCATTTGTAAAAAAGAGTTATATGGACCAGAAGAAGGAATTAGCCAACGGAAGTCTTGTGAGCTCGAGCAGAAGAATTCATCGGAAAAATTGGTTGATGGTCCATCGTTTGGAAATTGATTCAAACTCGTTCTATGAAATGCAAATTATTCCTGGCAAGTTAACCGAGACTTTCTCTAATATAATAAGGATGCAAGCATCGTACTGTTGTATCCATAGAACGAGGTTTTGTGTTTGGCAGGAATTCCTGGTCTAAATACATTTTCGACTTAATGCTGACTAGGAATTAAATAAGACGACAGATTATATGAATTTTTTAACAGTGCATGTATCTCAACATTTCGGTCGCCTCCAAAAAGTAACAGAAATCACCAGAAACACGATTAGCGACCACGATAAGCCTTCTATTATTATTGAGTTAAATTATTTTGTTGTAAAATAGGAAATTGCATAGCGTCCTTTGTTTATTTGGCTCTTAATTGTAAATTAAATTGAACTGACATCAAGCTTGTACTCACCACTTCTCTTTCGCTCAGTGGAAAAATGCAAAAGCCAACGCTTTCATTTTATGGCGGGACTTTGTCTGAAGCGTAAACAAAAAAATCATTTCAGGTTTACTTAGACATGGATTTCTTTTAAAAGTCAATGTTTTATCCTCTAGCATCAGGCGCAACTATAAAAAACAAAACACACAGAAATAAAATTTACAAAGGATGTCAGACGTACAAAGCTGAAATCCGCGACTAAAAATTAAGCAACCGATGAAGATAAACTGACAAAGGTACAAGAGCAAAGTTGTAATCAAAGACAAAGATCAACGCGCTAAACTGACAACTACAGCCGAAAATAAATGCACATGTGTGACAATCATGACAGACTAAGAAAAAATTGCAAAATTAAACCGAAAGAAAACAAACGAGGAAAACAAAACAAAACAAGAGGACAGTGGAAGATCAACGAACAAAACCGAAAGTCGTCGAGGATGGACGTTTAATGTGTTAATTTCTTCACTGAAAATCCAAACCCTTCCTTCCTCTATTTGTACAAAACGTATGTACTCTGAATACAGATAGTGACCAAAGCTACTTACTTTTCTAACCTTTATTTGGGACCTGAGAATCAGACTGAGATCCCACTCGATCTGCGTCAGGAACAGGGGTCTTCCCCTGGAAAGGACAATGGCACATTACAGCTTGAATAAATATTTTCAGTAAATTCACGGTAAAAACATCAAACGAGTGAGTCGAATAGACGATATCTTATATCTGTTTTATTGACTGACTGTCCTTACCGTTTCTTGAGATGTCAAAATCAGAACAACCCCGTTAAAATTCACTCTGGGTCACCAAAAGGGATCTTCCTGTAAAAAAGACAACAAAGCATTACTGCTATTTAATTTTTTCAGTGCACAGCGACAAGATGAAAAGAATGTTTCCTACTCGATATCTAACTTTTTCTACACTGTATTGTTCAGTCACGTTCTCCATTTTCTAAAATTGTTTACTTCAAACTTAAAAATTAAAAAAAGTGTTAGTTCATTGTAACTGACGATAGTGGTAGAGACTCTTGGAAACGTTTTGAAAGCTGAAAACTGTCATTTTCATTCTGCATTTTGTGTACGGAAAATGACAGTGCTTAAACTGGCGGAATATTATTAGAATTAAGTGCCCAAACACACAAATTGCAGTTCAAAGCCGTACGCATTCAATGATTGTATTCTGTAAGACGATATTCGCAGTCAAACATGATTGTTGATTATCATTGACAACTTCATTGTTTATTGAGTCAAAACATTTTGTTGTAAGGCAACCGATAACACAGTCAACTATGTGAAGGTTGTTTAGATTTTGTCAAGAAAGAGTTAGGTGACTAAAACCGAGGGAAGTTAAGAATCAAGGTTCTACTCACCACTCCACTTCTGTTCAGAATATGAAAGAGTACAAACGTTACAGCCAAGTCCACAAGAGAAACTTCTTCTGCAAGAAAAATCAACAAACGTTCGTTTTTTCTTTAATCCGTGTTTCAATCGTTAACTACAAGCAGCTTAAATCAAAATTGGATAGCTAGACGTTGACAAGAAGAAATTCTAAATCCCATATGTTTACTTTATCACTATAAAGATGAATTAGAGCACTTAAGAATTAATTTATTTTTTCCACTCTAGTATATTATATTTGCACCAGTATTGTGTAATGTATTACAAGGCCTACCACGCCAAACATCACAATGCTTAAGCCAGTTGAATTTGCCGGGTTTAAAATCTTGAGCAATTACATTTTAAATATGCTAAAAAATTCATGTCCTTTTGAAATGGCATGGATAATCTTAATTATAAAGCACTTCTTTGGTACAAAACTTGTACAACTTACTGCACTTACCTTTCCAAAAAGGCTTTAAAAGTCCCAAAATCGTTTCCAAATTTAACTTCAACTCAGAATGGGATTCAAAGTTGTTGTCTGCATCAGCTGAAATGAAATCTCCTTCTCAAAAATAACAAAGACATGAGAATTATCACACTTTCGAACCGTGGGATAAGCTTTCAATTTCGACTGGTCATGAAGTCTTTCTTTTGTAACACACTGTCGGCACGTTTTATTTGTGTTTCAGTTTCATTTGAAATTCAAGTCATAAAACACGAATTGATATACGTTTGCTTTCTTAATATAGACTGCACCTACTTGCATGAGAGAGAGAGAAGATGAAGGTAAGAGAGTTTACCTCCCATATAAGCCTTTTTCCAAAGGTAATCTCTCTCAAGTTATTTTTAGTTCACTTTCAGCTTCAGAAATTCCAAAATTATTTTATATTCCAGCTATTTTTTTTAATCATATTTTACAAGATTTTCGAGCATTCATAACTAATCTACAAGGAACAGTACGAAGTTATCCTTACCAAAGGTTAGTCTGAATTACGGGAGACGGACCTTTCTTTACTGCGGTGCAAGAATTAATTTTTAATGAACTTCCGTTAAACGTTACTAAGAGCGAAAACTTACAGATGTTCTGTCACGGAGCTAGTTGGTTGTAAATGTTCTAAAATTTTATTATCGTACTTAAGGCTTTTAAGCTAATCTTATAACTTTTAGTTACAGAGCCCCTATAGAGACCAACCTTAGAGGTGAATGGGCTATCCTGTGTAAATAAATTTTTCTTACTTAGACTTACACGTATTTTCATTCTCCACGAAAACATCTACCCAACACGCGTGACAAGATTAGCCGCGGAAGAACTGGGTACTATATATATAAATAACCTCTGAGGGATTGCCTTAAGAATAATTTCTGTATGGGGGATTAACATCCACTCTTGGCACGACTCAATGTGATTTTTAAAAAAAGAATCCAGGTTTCAAGAAGTTTAAGTGCGTTTTTTTTTCAAAAGCCTTCTGGTTTTAGCTTTGGGAGTGAGGAAGGTTAAGTTACGACTAAAACGGAGACTTCACACGTTAAGTCAAGTCACAAACTGTTCCAGGCACTCAACTGGCGAAAACTTAGTCATCAAAGGCTAGTAGCCACCTCTACTGTGATGTTCAAAACTTTACATGGATTGACCCCTGAAAATGTATAATCTCGATTCGTATTTCGAAATGACATTACTTCGTATCGACAGCTGAGGAATTCCTGAGAATAAACTGGTTCTTCCACAGCCTCCGCACCAATTATTTAAAGAGAAGTTTTTTTTTTTTCTTCAGAGGTGCTATGTGCTCTCTAATGAACTCCGATCTACAGTTTCTTTAGTGAATTTAAAGGTAAACTGCGCTATTACAGTTTTGAATGAGACACGGCATCCTTGAAAAGCAGCTTTAGTAAAATGATAGGTTTTCATTCTGGTAATACTGTATTAATTATTAGTTAGTTTAGTTAGGTACTTAGTTTATTATACTTTTAAATTATGCTGAAGGAATTTTTACCGTGTATAAATAAAGTTATCAACTCAACTCTACTAAACTTCCTTGCGCAATACATTAAAAAACTGTAATAAAGCAAGGCTGATAACTACGAAGAAAGCTTAACGGGACAACGACATGGTAGAGTCCAAACTGAAAGCCAAGAATTGCAACCGTGGACAGCTGTTTCGACCTGGTTGGGTCTCGTCAGCACGGTGTAGCTGCAACATGAAGTAAAGCAGCCGGCTGGCTGACCGATCGTCTACTAAATGCACATAATAATGACCTCACATGAAACCTTAAATCCAAATGTTTGCCGATTGGCCAACGTCACATGCAAAACACGTGACAACGGACAATAGGCAAAATCTAGAATATCATCTTGTTGG